CTGCACCCCCCCCCACCTCCTCCTCCTGCACCCCCCCCCACCACCTCCTCCTCCTGCACCCCCACCCCACCTCCTCCTCCTGCACCCCCCCACCACCCTCCTCCTGCACCCCCCACCCCCCCCCACCCCCCTGCACCCCCCCACCACCTCCTCCTGCACCCCCCCCCACCACCTCCTCCTCCTGCACCCCCCCCCCCACCTCCTCCTCCTGCACCCCCCCCACCCCACCACCCCTCCTCCTGCACCCCACCACCTCCTCCTCCTGCACCCCACCACCTCCTCCTCCTGCACCCCCCACCCCACCTCCTCCTCCTGCACCCCCCCACCCCACCACCTCCTCCTCCTCCTGCACCCCCACCTCCTCCTCCTGCACCCCCACCTCCTCCTCCCTGCACCCCCCACCGCCTCCTCCTGCACCCCCCCACCGCCTCCTCCTGCACCCCCCCACCGCCTCCTCCTGCACCCCCCCCCCCCCTCCTCCTGCACCCCCCCACCCCTCCTCCTGCACCCCCCACCACCCCCTGCACCCCCCCCACCCCACCACCTCCTCCTCCTACCCCCCTCCTACTTTGTGCGTGGGGGAAAAAAAAGAGACGTGTTAATTAATATGGGGGAATACGATGGAAGAAACTGAACCCAAATAATAGCACTGCGCTAATGCAAAAAAAAACACACACACAACACAAGATGTGTGGAGAGAGAGAGAGTGTAACTTCGTTAAAACGAAACAAGGTACTGGTTTCTGTGCCACTGTCGTTGCATTGGGGTCTCCGGGCGAAGAGGTCATTGGGTTTCTTAAAAGAAAAGACGAAGGGGGAAAAAAAAAGTGAAAACAAAGCGCTTCTGTAAAAGCACCAAATCATTTTATTTTGAGAGAGAGAGAGAGAGACATGACTTGCGCCCACATGAATGAACATGTAAACATTTCTACTGCAAGCGATCAGGTTTTATCATCATCCCTCAAAGGGATTGGTTTCGGGGGTAGAGTTCTTGGGAACAGGGTCCACAGTTTATTTTATTGTATTGGGGTTTTTTTTTTGCCTTCAGTGAAGGACTATACCGAATTAGACTGGTGCGAGGCAAAACGATGAAGGTTTAGGTGTAAATGTTCTCATCAGTCCTAGAAGTGTGGCTTTTTAGGGAATTCTGGTACCTTATTCGTGTGTGTGTGCTTTCTGTGCACAGTTCGATTTGAAAATATTCTTGTGTTTTGGGGGGCATTAACTCGGGTGTTTTTTTAAAAAAAAATGTACTGTATGTATATGTGTGTCAGTTTATTCTAAGTTTGAACTTTTGTTGTGGTCTGTCGCTTAAATAAACTTTCCACATCACTTCTCGTTTTCACTGAGGTGCCTAAATGCATCAGATATTGTGAACACTAAACAGTGAAAACCATTAGAAATTTCTTATATACTGTCTCTATCCCACGAGAGAGAGAGAGAGAGAGAGAGGGGATACCTAACTAGAGTATGTGGTTTGACCACACTCCCAAAACCAAACTGGTATCAATCATTTGAACCCAGATTCACATCTGCCCACAATGATCCACCATACACTTGCAGTGTATAAAGGAACCCTCAACATCAGGCCAGTTCATGTTCATGTGAGGAATTATTTTGGTCTCCCATAGCACCTGATTCCAAAAAGCAGAATTGCTGGGTTATTATGCCCAAACTGATCACTGATCCTAGAGTTTATCTGTGAAGTGCGATAATGATTCTCTAAATAAATTCAGTCTTTCAAATTAGGAGACTCTGGAACAGTGTGTTATGGAAATAAGGAATATTGACATAACATCTTGTGTTACCTGCCTATGAATTCTAAGTGTGGTTCAAAGCTATACATATATTTGGAGTACACTGAATTAAAACACACTGCTTTACAACCCAGCTTGTAGGTGATCCAATACAATTTAGAATTCTTAATGGACCTTATTTCCTTATGTTTCACCCCATGTACATACAACATATATGGGCATGATCCAGCAAAATGACTTCCATCTTTCAATCAGAAATAACTCTTGGAATCCCCTGAGAAACAAATGGTACTCCCCACACTCCACTTCAATATCCTGATTATAACATCTGTAACAAGCCCGGAGGAAAATGCTCACTTTTAATGACCAGCAATTGGTGCTTTCCTACTGAAGCAGCCTGTTGTTTCTCTTAAGCAGTCGTGCCGCTATTGTCACTTTATTTCCAAAGGCAAGCATTTTTAACAAGAGAAAAGGTGACTACTGAGATACTAACTCAAGGTTCTTTCAAGTAGCTTAATAAAAGCAGAAACCTTTGATGTGCAAATTCACCCGGGCTGGTGAAGTATTGACAGGAACTGTTCACATTAACCTTTACCTTGGTTTACATGAATAACAATATGTTACACAATATCCAGTTCTCTTGGAGGCATATGCCTACAATACACAATATTATTGATTGCCCCTTATTCCAAAAGCGTTCAATATCTAAAACAAATCATTTCTTGGTGTGTTTCAGTGAGTCCCTGTGGACAGATGATTTAAATTGCACTGCTGGCAAATAAACGCTGGGGAGGGAGGGTTAGCAAAGATTATAAAAGTTAAATACGTAGTTTATTTTAAATCAGTGAGCCAGATCATCATATTTTATGTGAAAATGTAAATTAAAATGCTATCCACTGAGATTACTCGGAGTCCTGTAGCTCAGTGGTTAGAGCACTCGCCTTGCAAGTGAGAGACCTGAGTTCAATTCCAGGCAGAGGGCGAAACCTTGGGCAAGTTTCCTTACTCCACACAGAGCCTAATAATAATCCCTCCAAAAACAAAACAATAATAAATTGATCATTTTCAATCCACGACTGTTTGTGGGACATTGCTGTGCGCAATTGGCTGCCGCGTTCGCCCACAAATATACAGTCAATTCACTTTACAGTCTATTCTGTGAAGCGCTTTGGGACGTCCTCCCGACGTGAAAAGCGCTATATCAAATGCAAGGATTATTATTATTATTATTATTATTACGACAGAAGAAAACAAATGCTTTTCAATCAGTTTTACTATCTCTACAGATATCGAATTGTACTGAAGGCATCCAATTAATAAACAGCTGAACACTTGCAACTCTGTAGTCAATCTAATCTACTTTATTGATAAATCAATGAAGTGTAATTCACATTTGTGACTGAGCACACAGAAAACTACAGGTTTCTGCGTTCAAACGACTGGCTATGCATAATGGAAAATGTACCATTACGTTAAAGGATACTTGAAATCATAGAAACATACACCAACAGCAGCTGTATTGTATTGCATTGTGTCAGCAATCCCGAGAGAAACAGGTTATGTGATTATTTGTTTAACATTAGTTCTGCAGCGATGCTGCTGCAATAATGATCTTACAAAAGGCATCCACTCGCCCACTTGTTACACTTCAAAGTTCCTGAAATATCAGGAGTGCACACTGATGTGTGCTGAAATAACACAGCAAAATAAACACAAGGAAATCAAACGTAGAACAAAGGAATACTCCAGAAACCCCTGGATTTTTTTTTAAAAAAAGGCGAGTGTGGGATCTGTGATAGACCAGAGCCCTATTTAGTGGAAAACCCATTTTCTCCATCAAAGACCATGGTCTTGTGTTGTAACATGAACCCCCCACTCCCCACCCCTGGTCCTACCCTTTATAAATCTGTCACCTTGTCTGATCCTGTGAAACAATGTGAGAACATTGACACAGATCCTCCAAACAACTGCTCAAGTCAGCAGGAGACCTACAGATCTTGGTCTCAGTACTTGACAGGGACCTTCTTGCGTAACGTGGTTTACAATTCTCATGGGTCAAACTTTTTCCCCCCCTGAATGAATCGGTAAATTGAGACGCTGATCAGTTCTAGTTCTGTGCTGCCCAATCTATGCACAGAGTTTGTATCAAATGCAAAAATAAAAGGCAGTATAATAATAGATTTTGCTTCAATGCTACTCATTGGAAACACATAATGTGAGATAGTACTCCAGAGGAAATCTCCCTCTCTGCCATTTAAAACCACAAACACTTTATTTTACTTTGATCAAATTCACTTACCCCCTTGTGTTTAGTGAACCATAACGTTGGGAGGTTGTTTGGGAAGGGACAGAGACAGCTTGCAAAGCCACATTCTCTCTTCTTGCTACATGGTTTGTTCATTGTCATTGTTAACAAAAATAAAACCACTGTTTATTAAATCAGTCCATCCAACTTCTCAAAATGTTGTTTTACTTCCATGACATTAATATCGCACATCTATAATTCGTATTGAACTCTTTCAGCGACCTGGGACCCACTGCATTCAGCTGGATCATTATAACCAGTTTACTGGGTCAGACATTGTCCAATACAACGTCGATCTTATTTATTGACTCGGAATTAAATAAAAATCCAATAAATTGTCAATTGACTGGTATTAGGTATTATAACAGTTAGCGGGTACCTATTCAGGACACATGAAAGATGTCGACTGGCTATCAAGTCATAAAAAACAGTTGTCATTAAAATCCACTTGAACTTGATGGGTCTTTGGGGTACTAAGTTCTTCTTCTGAATTGTGGTCATAGAATTGAAAGGGTGGACAGGTGCCAGCTATTCAGGCTCTTTTGAGTCAAGACCTAATTGCTCACAACAGGTTTCAGCAGGAAATAGATGGGAGCATCTTCTCTGGTTTGCAAAAGGGTTAAAGAAGAAACTTTTTTTTCCCAAGATAGGTTTTAAAAATATATATTTTAAATCTCAGGAAACACTCATTTTACCGGTAATGTTACTGAACGTTGGTGCAATAGCGGTCCAAAATAATTGAAAATGATAATATTTCACAATACTTCCAGAATTTTTGCAAATGTTTTTGGAATACGTTTGGGTTCATTGGCAGAACTGCAATGGTGCAAGTTGTCTAGATAGGTCGAGATAGAAATACTGTCTAAGAGAAGGATGCAAAGTTTAAAGAGCAAGGATGGAAATATATTCCACCACGTTTACTTGAATTTCTTTGGGGGGTATCTATACAGAACTTTCTGGAGGAGATGAGAGTGAGTGGCTGAGGGTTCTGGTAGTGTTTCAATCATAACTAAGGTTTTATTAGAAGTAAAAAAAACTTTTCCGTCATCATCTTCAGTAACATTTTCAGTGTGAACCTTCCTCAGTGCTGGACCAATTGGTCTGGAGACATCTCTATAGAATTCAAAAGGATAAAGTGCAGACATTTTTACTTTTGTCTAACTTTGTTTTGTCGTGCCTTGACCATTTTACTACAAATAGGAATATGTTTCTGAACATAAAGACAGAGTTTCAACCGTGTTGCGATATTTAAAACATTTATTTTAAAGATCTTACGTTCACAGAGCAGTTTGCACCTATTGATTGAGGTTTTGTTAATAATCAGGATTTAGCATTTTCTTGTCAACTCAACATTATTCCTTTACTGCCTGTGTCAGTATTCACACTTTCTTTCAAAGGACTGAAAGAGGCGAAAATTTCCCAAGCAGCAAGGTGAGGAGTCACTAATTTATGGAGCCATTGAAGAAGCACTGTAGTATCAAATAGGCTCAGTATCCTTTGAAGTACAAAGAATGGCAATTTCCTTAACTACAATACCAAACATTTTTTTCTGAAAAGGAGCCAAGCTGAACCCAAAGTGCTTGAATTTTAAAAAAGCATTTGTGCGTTTAATTAAGCTGCTCCTAAAATAGCTTAGTTCCACAGTTTTATTCATGGTGTTGGCAGAATTTTAGATTAGTAAATGTTTGATAGAATACAAGTTCAATAATTCACAGGAATACTGTTATCCTTACTTTCATTGTGATAAGTGGTGGTTAGTTCTATGCTTTGCCTCACTTTGTATACAACCTATTAATTTTTATTTTATCTCATTTGAAGGGCTTGTGATATGCAGCTTTTTATCTGCTACTATTATCTCACGTATGTATTCATTTTCAGTTGGCATATTGCTTACACCAAATTATATTTCGAACATCCCTACACTTTTGCTTTTATTTGAGGCCATTTTCCAACACAGAAGTTCTGTTTTCACCAGAAATAAACGATATTATTCCCAACACCACTTTTCTCTTTGAAGATACAGTACATCAAAACTGAAAGAGCTCTTACATGAAACACTTAATCTAATTGGATTCAAATTAAAAGACAACCGTTGCAAAAGTTCCCTTCAGAAAGAAAAGTAACTCGAGAGGATCAAAACTGCCCATAAAAATCAGGGCAGCTTTGACCAGTGACTTCCTGAACATTTGGGGACTTTAATCAACCCATGACACTTCTGAAGAGTAAGCTACAAAGGCTTCAGGTTCAGTCTAATGAGGGAAAAGTCGACAGTTTGGTTAATTAGAACATAAATCAGGAAATAAATGAAAGAGAAGTTTTTTGCATCAAAAGACTTTTAAAAAGTCAGTTATAAACATTTATGGGAGCCCGCACAAATAGGCATGTCCTTTATCCTGTCCAGCGCTTTGTACCCAGCTAACAGGATGTTTTTACAAACAGCCCTAAAATCTGGGTGATATTAATCTGACATTAATGCTTACATCCTTGAAATGACAAGTCACTAGGTTTATCAAGCAGTCCTTTCGTGGATAGGAAAAATCTCCATTATGTTTCCAGCACCTTTGACCCCAAAGTTTATAAATTCCATTATTATGCCTAGCCCAATTTGAAAATAGCTTCTTCTCCGCAGATATTATTCACTCAGCCTCATTTCATTAAACCTGTTTTAATACCAGGCAAGCCTCCCTCATTAAACTGATAAGCCTCCCTCTACATAATGTAATTCAATTGTACAGAAAGTGTAAATAGACAAATCGTTTTATCATCAGGTTTTGTTTTTATATAAAAATACACAATTATAAAGAACTGTACAATATTTGCTTTGCTCATTTCATGACAATCCTTGGTGAAGATGTGATAACATTGGTTGACTTGAAGGTAAAGCAAGCCTGACAGTGTGTACTGAACCTATTCTATAATGCTAAACCACTTTTGGGCAAATGACTATGCCTGTTAAATGTACATTCAGTTCTCTTACACAATTGGACTTAAGACTCCTTCGAGCCAAGTCTATCAGGGTAAGATGCTACAAAACAAAATCATCAGACAGTCAAGACAGCAAGACCAGTTCTTTTAAACTGCTTAGTATGTTATTTAGGAGGGCCCAATAATTGCAACTTCCAGGCTGAAATGTGGACATACGCTGTTTTTCTCTTAAGCACCTCAAATCTCTTAACAGATGAAATAACACACTGGTCATTCAGTGGGGTGGCACAGCTTAACAAGATCACAAATAGTTTTTATGTTAATGAAATATTAAAAAATTCCAATAACCGACAAAAACCATTGCACTTGTGAAACTCCACACTGGCTCAAGGCTCATGACCTATACCGTTGTGTGGAAGGGTACACATTTGTGTTCAGAAATTGCCATAACCACAACTCAACTGATCTTGCAGGCTTCAAGTGCAAGTAAGGCACTTCTCCAGGGCTGTGGTGTGTTCATGAGTGGGAATATAGAGGGCTAAAGTTTGTACAGTGAAAGATGTTGTTGGCAAAGATGCTGTTGAAAAAGCCCTGTACTTTCATGCTGTATATTTTGAAATCCTACATAACACTGCCTTGCTGTATTTGCATTTCAGCCACAAAGCAGACAATACATATTCTGTGAAGCGCTTTCAGATGTCTTGAAGACTTGATAAGGCGCTGTATCAAATGCAAGTATTATTTTGCTAAACTGTAGTTCATTTCCCTTGAGATCTATCTTTGTGTATTTTGCTGATCTATTGCAATGATGGTCCGAAGCTGAAATCTAAGCTTCAGTACACGATGGATCTTAAACAACAAATACCTGAAGGAAGCAAAACTTTGTCATTGAGCAGTAGGATTTAGATATTCACGAGCATGCTGCCTGAACCCTCTTTTTATTTTTAAAGTCAGTGCTGTATAATACTCTCCCAGAGATCCATTATGTACATCTTCAAACAGCAGAATGGTCTGCTAAGTGTTCAGTTTTAGGAAATATTTCCTCAAGCAGTACAAATTTATACTGCCAGTAGAAAGGATTGTAAAATACCTCACATACACTGATCAATGCAATGGGATGAGCACACATCAACTGAAGAGCTTAAAAATTATTTTAGGATAAGATATTAAAAATATACAAAGTACAAACTCCATAATCCTATCCATCATAATTGGAGGGAATCTCAGTGGATGGCAGACTATAAAGATCCCTTTTGAAAAATCATCTGAAGCTTTCTGCGTTGAGCACCCCTTCGCCATCACAGTACTATTTAACCTACCCATTTAAAACCAGTAATTAAATACATTTTTAAATAAACCCGCAAAAATTCTGGCAGACGAATGGAGCATGGATAATGAGATTCCACTGTAGGCTAATTATAATCCATTTAGAAATGAAAGTGGTTGTTTTGCATTGGAGACGTTGTTAAGGCGACAACCTAAAGTCAGATACAATAAAAAAAATCAGAAAACATTAACATTTACATAAAAAACATCACTGGTACAATTAGGAATTCAATTTGAAGCAGCAATGACGCACACAATTTTAGGATTTCTCCCAATAAAAAAAAAAGTCCACAGACTCCTTCTATTCTCTTCGACCTGAATATTATTTTTCTTAAGAAAGTCAAATGTACTTTCATGAATCTTGCCAAAGGAACAGTGCCCTGGATTGATGATTTATGTCTGTGTGCAAATGCTTTCAATTTGCTGAGTTCCAAAATGCACTTCATGCAGTTTCCTAATTCATCATTTCTGTCGGCTTCTGTTCCTTAGCGGAGAAGATCAAGCGCTGATGGCAGTCACCACGGTTTGATTCCACTACTTCACTTAACTCGACACTGCCAACTTCGCTTTCCAACGGATTCGAGTTGTTGCCCGATACATTTCTTCCGCAACAAAAAGGAGCCTAAAATAATGAAACAAGAGGATTGATAAATAAATAACAATACTTGCATTTGACATGGCGCCTTATCACGTTTTCGAGATCTCTCAAAGTGCTTCACAGAATATACTGTGAAGTGAATTGACTGTATATTTTGTGATCGTAAAGCCACACCTGGTGCCTTGGCTAACAAATCGATTAGTGCTCTGGGACGCTACCCCGCGTGGAGGATTCTATATAAATGCAAGTAGTAGTTATTGTAAGTGGTCAGCCCCGATGGGGTAGTGACTAGAGCTGCACCTAATACAACAGGAGCTCGCTGGTTTGAATAACGGTCAATGACAATTCTGCTGGTCTTTGGCTCCGGCTTTCTCAGTTGGGGAGTTAGTTTCTTGATCTGGTCCCTTCACAGAACCCTATACTAGTTGTGTGCAAGTGTGGCCTCCAGGTGGGTAGACACATCCTCTAGAGTCGCTGCCAATGTTAATTTATATTAAAAAAACTTAAATGATAAAAATTTTGTCCAAACTCTGCAAGATTTGTAGTGTGTAAAACTAGGTTAAAGGTGCTTTTTTCTAAACCAAAATTGGTTGTTGAAAAATATGCCCTCTCAAATTAAATTCAGTTCCATACACTGATGCATAAAAAAAGTGGAAAATGTTTGATTGGCTTGGACTCTATAGCCAAAAATTAGTGGAAAAACTGTATAAAAATGACTTTGTTGCAATGTATTATGAGTACGGTAGTACTTACTGCAAGATTAATGGCCTTTGGTAATTCACCAGTCTTGATCCATGGATGAACCTCAGAGATCTCCTTCTTTTGTTGTTCGGTAAACCTGGGTTGGTTTTTCTGCATCATTTTCAGCTTCTCTCGGTCCTCCTTTAGGATCGATTCCATGTCCCTGAATTCAAACATTACGATACACATTCATTTAATGCATGCATTGCAAGGCAAAACAGCAGCAATATACAAATTGTCATGTTTCTGCAGCCTTAGACTTTTCTGTTAAATTCCTATTCTCTTTGCTCTAGCCCCCCCCCCCCCACCACCCCCACAACTTGATTTTGTGTGTTTGGAAATTAAGACACTACATTAGTAATAAATTAAGAAAAAACATTAGTAATACATTGGGTATAGGTACCCTTGTAATGTTCAGAGATAAAGTGAAAATTTAGTGGAATACACATCAACTAAGAGTTACGCAAATGAGGGTTTTTAGAAACAGCATTCAATAAAATATCCAACTTAGTTTTCAGCACTCACCTGGATGGAAGCTGATAACTCATCATGACCTCCTCATCTGTATTTGACATTGTTAGCCAAAATGGGCCTTGGAGTACACACTTCATAAACTGTTTATTTTTGGCCGAATTGGTTCTCACTTTCGACTTGTGGTCATTCTCAGAGGAGTCGATACTTCCAAAATAATTGCTGGTGTTGCTTAATTGGCTACTTCCTACTTTAAAAAAAAAGAGAATTGCATCAGAACTGAATACAGATACACCCTGCAATACTGCAGTCCACTCCCTAATCTCAGCATCGAGAGAGCAAACCTCTCCCATTAACATAGTTTATAGATGATTGTGTTGGTGGTTATGTTGTTTCAGTGACAGGGATTTTTGCAGACCCTGGTTACAAACTCCCCCATTTGGTGACCAACAAGCAAGGACTAAAATGGTCTTTCTCCCTCCAACAGAGAGGATGACCTCCCAGCAACAGAGAGCCCATACATCAGTGGTGGCCAATCTTTTTGGTCGGCCGACAAAATAAGTTCTTGATTGACTATTTCTTGGGCTGTAGGTTGGCTGGCACTGCCTTACATAATCCCAGTCCCATTTTCAAACAAACACGAATCTCAGAAACAATCCTGTGTTATACAAGAATTCCTACCTGTGTCCGTACCAGACATTCCACATCTATTGGATGGAGATCCTGAAGAAGTTGACCCAACACTCACTGAATCTGCAGAACCAGTACACGAATGACTATCCTCAAGTAATAGGGCCAGGAGGTTAGTGGAAGTGGAGTGGGTATCACTATTCTCAGGTAAATCTGCAAATCCGACCTGGAGAGAGAACAAAATGAAATTCTAATTTTTTTTCTTGCAACGACCTTTAAACATTCAGCCCCGGCATTAAAAATCTTCGCACGACACAATTAAACAATAGACAATTCATCAGTAAATCAAACTTATGGAAACAGACAGTAAGGGAAAAGGTTTAAGAGAAATAAAAGTGCAATCAGAGAAAAGTTTGCTGAACAATTTCATGTGGGCTTTTAAATGGAAGCTTATTCCAAATATAAAATTACTTACATTTTCTTTCGTTGCAATGATATCTGTATTCGTAATGTTGGTTGTTGCTACTCTACCACACAGTCTATTTTCTTCAACAAATGCAGTTGTTTCTGGTTGTTCTAACACCATAGGCGTTTCTTCCAATTGTAGCAAGTTGAGCTGCAAAGGTGAACTGCACCTTGACTGGAATAATGGAGGTGACCCTTGTACTTGCGGTTCGACAGAGAGTGGGGTGGAGCAACATGATGGTGCAGGTGTTTTCTGAGTATCTGCTGGTGGGTCAGGTCTCGCTGTGAACTGTGGTGGGCATTGGAATGAACTCGGAGGAGAAAACACTGTTCGGGGTGGGAAGGCCGGTTGTGAAGGGAATGCAGAATTACCAGCAAAGAACGGCTGGTGTACAGAATAATTCATCTGAGGGAACATATAGTTAGGGAGCACGTATGCAACCATAGGAGCTACAAAAGGTGCAGAGAACGGTGTTGGCTGCATTGTGCGGTGAACATCCTGAGCATTTTCCACAAAGCTGTGAAGAGATGAGTCAGTAACAGAAGGCATGGATCCATGTGTAGGAAATAGTGGCAGTGGATATGTTGGCAGCAAAGCTGAATATCTGGGTTGAGAGATATCAGTTGGCAACCAAGAGGGAATTCTACGATGTTGATTGGTGCCAGAGAAAGTACTCTCAGAGGATTCCTGCTGCTTCATGCGTTTCAATTTCAGCTTCTTATTCTTTCCACCTCTTTTGTACAGAGGTTCTGCACTATTCCAACCAGTTTTATACCCGTGAGTACCTAAAGTGCAAAGATAAAGGTACAAATGAAAAACATTCACACAATTAAATTAAATCTCCAACTCTGCCAAGCTTTCCAATAAGGAACTAAATTAATTTTGCAATCTAAAATAAGTCACATATTTAGGATAGAAAGTTTATCACAAGCATCCTGGAAATGCAGGATTGCTTACTCTGGTGGACATTTTTTTCTTTGGTCCAACTCAGCATTCGAACAAATATATCCCATCCCTTCGACTGATAAGTACCCAGAATATAGGGCTTGAATTACATTGTTGAAACTTCATCAAATTACTAACCGCTACAGGGCTGGAATATGTTGTAAACTTTCTATCATACTTTCCCACAGCAGGTTAAGTTTCTTTTTTGGGGGTTACGAAAGAAACTTAACCTGCTGTATTAAGATGTTATTTTATCCAAAGTTATATGGTTTAGTAACTGGCGTTGGGTTGGAGGGTGGGGAAAGAAGAGAATCAGGGATTCCTTACCATATTCTCCAGTAAACCCTTTATGCCGTTCCTGTAGATATGACTTGCAAGGAGATTCAAATGCTTTTAGCTTACTAAGCTCCTTGAATTTCCTCAAGAACACCTGCTCTTCATTCTGGGTGTGAGCAGCTAGTACTTCCTTGGTAAGGCCACGTTTCTTGTACTGTTCCTTCTCCTGGTTCACAGATACACTGACAAGTGGTGCAGTTGGAATCGCTGCTGAATCAGCCATTGCAAGCCCATCCTCCATCAGAATTTCTATTAAATTGAGAGAGTGCAAGGATGATTATTAATATTATAAAAGCAACTTGTCAAACCTTTACACTTTTGCATCGGAAAGTTATTTGTGCCAGCTAATTCTACAACACCATTAAAGTTGCTTTGACATAATGGTGTTGAAACTGTACGTTAGTGAGGAATCAACAGCATCCAAAATTTCTCAATTGTGAACTTCACAATGTGCCATCCAAGGTTTTGGCTAATGGTTTCCATAGATGCCTTTCTAGAATTAAAATGCCATACCTGGATCTGCTTGTGGTTTCTTGTCTCCTACATGGACAATAGTGCTCCTGTAACTGCACTGGCTGGTGAACGATACAATACTTTCTGCTTTTCTTGGTAAAGGCAAGTGTGTCAGTGGAGCAGGTATCTCTTTTGTAGGGTTCAGTGGAGTTTGGACAGTCTGATGTGACAGCAGTTCTGCTGTTGAAACAAAAGAATAATCGGTTATTTTAAAAACAAAACATTGCGGGGTGTGAAGAGATGGGGAAAAACACCATCAGCCACTCATTAAAGTACTTAATAAGCACAAGGTAATACAAAATCTTAACAAATTTCACTTCTTACTACTGAGTCAGTTCGGATAAAACTATTAAACTTTCAGTAAAGTCACAAATGTCGAAAGTCACGTCAACTGAAAGATAGTTACCTTCAGACACCTGCATGCTTTCGTCAGGAATACGTTTCTGTTTGTCCTCAGAGTTTGATGATGGCTCACTCTTACTTTTCACGTTGCTTGGAACATTGCAGCTGTCCAAATACCTGTAAATGCAAAACAAATCATGATTTACAGAGTGGTACACAATACAATCACAGTAAATCCACACCTTTGAAATACGATACAACTTCCGCAACTCAGAATTCAGTCTCTTAATCACCTGATTACACTTTCCAAGCAGTTGATTTGCTGATAAGAATATACTGATGATTCCTTGCATCTCAAGTCTTCGAAGAATGTACTCCTCAGGACATTGCTGTTTACGGCATTCTTGGTTGCACTCCCCTTCAAATCTTTGGTCTGTACATTTATTCCTTTCTGTTGCGCTCCTATAAAATATTGCATTTCCCAATTAGAGTAAGCTTTTGTAAATTTCTCAAGTAGGGAACAGTATTTTTCTTCAGAAGCAGTAAGCCTTTAACATATGCAATCACGTGGTCTGTAGCTCACACATTCTAAAGGTGCTTTGTTTACATACAATCCATTGTAAAATGTTTTATGAAAAGTAATTTCGGAATTGTACAGTACACATCAAGCAGGAAGCTTGCAAACTGTGCATTGTGAAGAGTCCACAGTGGAGAATGTGCCTACAACTAAATGACCAAGTTCATTTGTTCATCAATCCTTTCTGCATAATGGTTTTGTAGCCTTTCAATTTGCCAACTTACTTGGAGAAATTGATAGCTGGAATAGCAACTGAAATTTTGGGAAATATGTTACACATGCCTCACTTATAGAGCAGGTCTATGATGAACCTATGCTGATTGGAAGCACCGAACGAGAACAGCAACACATTGTCCACAGCCGATGAGTTACAATGAGGTTTATCTGTAACCAGCGTTTTATTGATTGAAATGTTCATGGTTTGTGAACCACTGCAAGGTTGCTGTTTTTTCTCTTCCTCTCGCCAGGCTGGGGACACAGGCTAATTTTAGAACTGTCTCTCTGCCCAAGACGAGATACGTCAATTGTTCATTAATATCTTAATTCCGATAAGCGTAACTATCGTCATCAGTACCTTAAGCCCTTTTTAACCTCATTGAAAGCTGGCTCAGTTACCAGCCTCTTTGTTAAATACAAGGAGAGCAGCTTCAATGAGGACGTCATTTTAGTTGTGTGAGCTCCTTCAATATCTCCTCTAAGCTAGTGAAGACTCTTTAGAGAAAAACACCTCTAACTCAAAGTAAGGTAAATACTATGAATAGTAACGGTGATATGAATTGTAATTTTTATTTCCAAGATGTTACGGCATAGGAAATCAATCAAACCTTCAAGATACCCAGGCTAAAATTTTTCATTTAGCAATTCTCATTTGTATTAGACCTTACATTTGAATTCAACAACGACTGCAAAATGATTGAGCCATTACCAGATTTGTGTCTTCGTTTTGCTCTGCTCTCAATGAATACTGCTTGTCCTTGGTTCTTGATCAGGTGCACATCCTTACAAAGCTTCTGAAACGTCATCTGAAAACGCAAAGCCACAGAGAAGAATTAAAATAATTATCCTCTTATTAATATTATTATTATTATTTGTTGTAGGGAATTTCCTTGTCTCTAAAATTTAGAACAAGTCTAATTCTGATTTCCACTTTTACTGCCTGGTCTGCAAAACGCAAATCCAGATGCTTTTAGAGTGATTACATTAATATGACGTTATTAGTAAAAGCTGCAAACCGATTGGTTTCATCTATAAGCTACACACATGGAAATGATTTAAAAATCACTTTGTTTGCACAAGCTACAAGATCTGATGAAAGACAACTTACAGGGCTGACTCTGCTGCATTCTTCATTGCCATTACTATCACTGGAAGAGGCGATGCTCATGAACTGTCCATAAGATCCATTACTGCCTAAACTTCCATAGCCACTGGAGCCTTTTTTGTAGACGGGCTGAAAAGGAATTAAATTTTTTTTTAATTCGTGTTCAATATATAAGGAGGTCTCAAACCGCTAAGACAAAAAAAGAGTTATTTCTTCTATTTTGCATATAAAAGCAACATTTCCCACCATCTTTATACTCTGTGAAGCGCTTTGAGACATCTTGAAAACGTGATAAGATGCTATATCAAATGCAAGGATTATTGTTATCTTAACATAATAAAAAATGATTAGTATTAACACAAATGGAAGTAAAATTTCCAACACCCATTACTCTAATAATATATTTCCTTCCTTGTATTACATACTGCACAAGTACAATGTGTGTACATCACTAATGAATTATGAGTAAGACAAACACAAACAATAAGCTCAAGTACACCATATACAATAATTTTATAGTTATACCTGCAGTAAAAGTTTATGAATCTGTTCAGTGATGGTCTGTATTTCAGAATCTGTCATCTTCACCTCAGTTAATCCAGGGGAAGGGGTAGCAAATATATCTTCATTCAAAGGACCTCTATATATACACCGGAGGTTAAAAGTATTGCAGTGTTTAATACCTCTTTCACAAAAACAACAACAACAACAACAACAAGATTCCATTTATAGAGCGCCTTTCACGTCAGGAGGACGTCCCAAGGCGCTGCACAGTTGGGTCATGACCCGAGCAGGGGGGAAATGGTCAGGGTGAGGGGAGGGAAGGGAGGGAGAGAGAGAGGAGGGGGAAATGGTCAGGGTGAGGGGAGGGAAGGGAGGGAGCGAGGAGGAGGAAGAGAGTCGAGAGGGGAGCTGAAGGCACGGTCAAAGAGAAAGGTTTTGAGACCGGCCTTGAAGGAGGAAAGGGAGGAAGCAAGGCGAAGGCACTGGGGGATGGAGTTCCAGAGCCTCGGGGCTGAGAGGCTGAAGGCCCGACCACCGATAGTAGGGCGGTTGGGGCGGGGGACGTGGAGCAGACCGGAGCCAGAGGAACGGAGGGTACGGGCAGGTAGGTAGGGGGATAGTAGGTTGGAGAGGTAGGAGGGAGCAAGGCCGTGAATGGCCTTGTAGGTGAGGATGAGGATCTTGAAATCAATCCTCTGGGGGATGGGGAGCCAGTGGAGGCGAGCGAGGGTGGGAGTGATGTGGTCCCGAAGCCTGGTGCGGGACAGTACACGAGCTGCAGAGTTCTGAATGACCTGCAGCTTGTGGAGGGAGGTGGCGGGAAGGCCGGCGAGGAGAGAGTTCCCATAGTCCAGCCTTGAGGTGACAAAGGCGTGAACCAGGGTTTCAGCAGCGTGAGGGGTGAGGTAGTGCCGTAATCTGGCGATATTCCGGAGGTGATGGAAGGCGGTGCCAGTTGTGGTGCGGATGTGAGGGAGAAAGGACAGCTCAGGGTCGAACAAAACGCCGAGGTTCCTGACTGGCTTTGAGAGGTGGAGAGTGCAGCCTTGGATGCTGATGGTGTCAGCGCCTGAGGTGCGGAGGCGCTGACGTGAGCCAATCAGGAGGGCCTCGGTTTTTTGCACGTTGAGCTGAAGAAAGTTGTCTCTCGTCCAGGACTCGATGTCGGACAGGCAGGCTGTCAGGACATCGGTGGTCGTGGAGTTGAGAGTAGAGGAGGAAAGGTAGAGTTGGGTGTCATCCGCATACATGTGGAAGTTAACCCCATGTTTGCGGATGATGTCACCAAGGGGGAGCATATAGAGGGTGAAAACAACTTCATAAAGAAAAACTTCTCAAAGCACTTTACAGGGAAGGTGTGGATGTACACAAGAGGAAGGTGGCATGTTCGAAGACGTAGGCTTTAAGGAAGCTCTGAAAACAGGGAAAGATTGGGCACGATAAAGGGATTACGGGGAGGGGAAAAGGCATAGCGGCTGAAAGCATGCCAGCCTGCACCAAACTTTTTTTTATATAAAGATGAAACACATTGGTCATGAGGTAAAGTAAAACATGATCACTACAAAAAGGAGAGCGTGCAAGAGAAGGGAACACTAAGGATATCCAAAAATACTTACGTTCGGACTTTGTGCCTTCCGATGATGAAAGACACTTTTCTGCTCCAAGGATTAACAAAGCTTGACCAACTGGTGTCAATCGTGATGTATTCACCATTGTGAGTGCAGAATCGGAGAGGTGAATGATCGAAGGGTTGTCCAGCATGTTTCAATACTGAAAGAGCACAGAACCTAGAGTGAGTACATTCAATGAAGACATTCTCTACAAAAATAAAAAGGTATGAGCAGCAAACTTACTTTTCTTATGAATGCCCAACATCAAAGATCGATCGCCTGGGTGCAGATGCATCAGCACAGCAGTGCCTATCAGATCTTGGGGCAAATATCCCAACAGAGGAACAGCCCTTTGAAAAGACAAAAAAAAAGTTTTAATCAACCAAGTTATGAAATACTGTACTTCACATTAAATAATCCGAATTGGAGACGATGGGTAGAATGGTCTTTTCCTGCGCCATAAATTTCTATGATTCTAAATTTCTATATTAATTGCAGCTAAAATAAATCCCTGTTGATTAGGTATCTTTTAGTTACTTTGTTTGCTCTTCTGTGAGTGAGCAAGTAAAGCAGACATCCGGGTCAAAAAATACGTAATGATTAGGCCTGAATTATTCAATCCTTTTTACACAAGTTTAGTAAAATTGTACAAAGTTTGTCCTCCAGGAGTGCATTGCTAAACCAAGCTTTCTATACCATTTTTATTTGTCATCGACAGAATATCTACAAACTTGGGAGAGATTTTGTGAGCTGTAATATTTGGTTATAAAGCTATTGTGAATTAGATTTTTTTTTCAAACCTGCAATCAGCACCATTACTCATGATCTCAAATGGTTTTAAATAATATCATAGCCAACATGCACGAAAGGCCAACAAAAATACACTTCACATACCTCTCGTCAATATCCTGAAATATGCAACTTGGTGTGTGAGTGGTGGTGAAAATACGCTTATCAAGGGGAATCCTCGGTGCTGGAAAACAACGTTATTTTCATTAAAGCTAGCAAACAAAAATGGAGCTATGTTACGTGTTTGCATGATAATATGCAAGCGCTAAGTTGTTTGAAACTTACCTTCATATCCAGAGTGTACTCTTTCAGCAATCAACAGGCAACAGAGCTCATCTTCAACATCTTCTGATCTCTGTACGTTGGTAAGATAAGGCGTCATGCGAAAAGGATAGTATTGAATACTTCCATCACGTTCCCAGCCTCCGCTGTGAATCAGAAGCCAACAATAAGAACACAGGCCAGGACAACAAAAGTACCAACACAAAAACGAATGCAGGGCAACTTGCCAGTTCTTTGGTACTCACCTCATGCGGCAGAAGAAGGACTTTTCCAGTACACAGTCTGGAGGTGGTGAACCTGAAAGGCAGATAGCTAGAATAAGAAATTGGACACCCAACAAAAAGAGTTAATGCTACACTGATTAATCCTATAAAAGCTGTATAACTATGTTGGGGACAGGAATGAAGGGTTTCAAGGATGTGGATTAATAGGTGATCAGGCAGAGAGATAATTAAATATTCTGTTCAGGGTATCTGGCCAGGAATGAAGAGCAGAGATGGAAAAGATATTCCAGAGTTCTGCATTTATGCTGAATATTTTCCTCAAGAAACTAACTAGAGTAAAGTCATTGACAGGGCAGACTGCACTCGTCTTGAAAATCTGTCTAGGAAACCTGCTGCTGTAAAATGACTATTTAACAATGACGAATGCAATATAATACTGTAAAAATTTGCAATGTAGTAATGAACATTTACCTGCAGCAGTGCACACACTCCACAGGGGCAATTGAGATGGTGATGTAAAGGTGTAGAATACGCCAGCATCTTGCGGAGCAAGGAATTCTATGAACTTCGCATTTTTGAAGACATTCTTCTTGCAGTTCAGAACTGAAGCAGCTTGATCAGAGATGTATACAATCCGTCCGGTGATCAGGGAAATGGCGACAGCAAAGATATCCTGGAAATAGCCGCAAACCATTGGTAAATAAATGAGTTTTCTAAATTAAGTACTACATTTACCTCAATTTTTAAACAGTGCATATACAGCAATATGATTAAGGTGCAGCAAATAAAATAAGTCTTTTTTACACTTATATTTGTTTAACGTTTAAAATAGGCATGCATTTTACACTTGTACTACTAAGATTTATCTAGGATCCCAAACAAAGTACTGACTACACTGCCACCTGCTCATGTGCAAATACTAAAACAAAAGGATGAGTGAGCAGAAAACACTTAGATCAGCAGCATGGCTTTAAATTGCAACTGAGAATGCAGGTCTGCAACCTGTGAGCATGAAGACTTTCCCTGCCGAGGAAATGTTAACTTTAAAAAGGTTCACTTGGACCACTTACTGCATTTATCAAGGTGTACTCAGAAGTGATGCTCTCCATTTCTTCAACTGTGTAGGAATTCATACTCATGTTCAATCTGGAAGGTGGAGAGTCATCTTTCATCAGAAGCTTGTAGTATTCTTCATTGGCTGGAGAATTAAAAAAAAAACAGATGTTACTTGCACATTCAAAGCAGAATTATATGACAGTGTAGACTCAAATGCTTTTTTTTTCCCAGCCAGTCTTCGACCAGGTTCCTTTCTCACTAATAATAATACTTGCATTTGATATAGTGCCTTATCAAGCCTTTGAGACGTCTCAAAGCGCTTCACAGGATATACTGTAAAATGAATTGACTGTATATTTCTCTAATCAGTAGCTAATGATATTCTACATATTCCGCCAAGCGTGTGGTGATATGGGGGGGGAGAGAGAGAAGAGGGAAAGAACTGAAGGATTTGTACCTTCTCGTATCTAAAGAACACAAGCTTACCTCGGACTTGCTTTACACATCGCAGTGCGTACTTCAGGGTGTAAAGGGTGTTCGACTTTCCCCTTATCCTCTCAATAGGCAGGTGCATTTTTAACTCATTTACTGCTTTCATCAACTCTTTCTGCGTCCTCACCTTCCCAGACTGAGCATTGCTGAAAATCAAAAGAGTAAACTTAGAACTTTTGATTCCATAGCCTTTTGATTCCATCAAACTGTCATTTACAGACAAGGCTCACAAACAAAGTGTACGTAAGACAAACACCGACAAACAAAGTATTCCTTGGGGTTCTGCAATTAAAGTACACAAGTACACGGAGCACAGACTTTATAATAATCACGTATAACAACAACATTAAGTTGTAAGATGTAACCCGAGTATTAGGATGGCGGTACACACTGCAGTATTGTCTTAAAGTTTTAAGACTTTAGACAAAAAAAAATGCCAAAACAAATCAGTTTGGGAACGTAACTAAACATTAGATAATAGACCAGGATCAGCACCCACCTGCAGTCACTCGTTGAGGGATTGTCCGGGTCAGAGCTGGAGCTAGTCGGGCTAAACGCATTTGAGCTGCTATGAAGAGATGGACTCTGAGAATTGGAGCTAGTAATAAAGATAACATTTTGCATTATCCTTATTGCCATTATTGCTTCTCCTCTCCTGAAGGCACTGATTCTACCTGTATGATTGCATGGGTGTCAGGCTCTCTCCAGTCTCTCACCCTAGCGATTATTTTTCATTTGAACAATCCAGTCAACAACACTTGAAATTATCTTTCCCCATTAAACCAGTCTTTTTTTACAATAATAACTAATAGGAATAACTTTAAAATCTATTAATTATATTTAAAATATCCTTGCATTTGATATAGCGCTTTCACGTCTTCGAGACGTCTCAAAGCGCTTCACGGAATAGACTGTAAAGTGAATTGACCGCATATTTGTGGGCGAAACACAGCTGCCAATTGCACACAGCAGTGTCCCACAGACAGTCGTGGATTGAAGTGACCAATTTTTTTTCTTGAGGGATTATTATCAGGTGGGTGGAGTAAGGGAACTTCCCCAAGGTTTCGCCCTGCCGGGAATCGAACCCAGGTCTTTCGCTTGTGAGGCAAGCGCTCCGACCACTGAGTTGCAGGACTCCTAATTAACCAAATGATAACCACCTGGTACTTGCTTAAAGATCTAAAAATATTTATTTTGATCCATTGGTCTGTTAAACTGATGTAGTTGCAGAACAGCCAATGCAATTCCATGACAAAAGCAGTGCAGGTAAGTGAAGCTCAATACCCAACAGCTGAGCTCACTTGGGACACATACAAGTTGAAAGGATAATCTTAACATTCAGTCTCATATATATTATTTTGCTTACGAGCAAGAAATGTAGAACACGTTGCAACCAAATTGCTCATCGGGGTGGAATTATACTACAGCTGTCTGTCTACATTTTATTACATCAATACTACACGGGATGGAAGGAAGAGATTTGTCTCTCTCGGCTGTGATCAATTGGTTTCGAAAACTAACCAAAAATCATCAACTGTACTGTTTTGCAAGTTTTGCTCGTACACGCGTTCCAGAAACATCTCCGATACAAATTGCACTTTTGCTTTTGAAGCTAATACTGAAGTCGCCACCAACAGTTGCGGAACGTTACTGCAGTATGAAAAGGGGCCGAAATCCTGACAAAGCACATGTAGTACATGTGAGCAACAGCTCTGTGTTGTACAACCATGGTCACGTGCTCCTTTGATTGCTCCATGATCTAATACAGAGCATTTGCTTCCAAATGGCTCCAGAATATACAGAATTATTAAAGTCTATGCTTCTACCTGCACCTTTAGAAATAAAATAAACACATTTTTAGAAAAAAAGGATATAAGCACAATTCTTTCAGCTTGTTTAACCTGTAGCATCCTTCCCCTCCCCTACAAATCTAGACAACGGGAGAGTCAGAATTAATCATTCATTGTTCAGGCAGATTAGTTATATTTAAAATTCCTCTGTGTTCGAGTCGGCAGAAAACTATAATTTTATTTCTGAATATTTATTTAGGAGTACGTTCAAATACATGCACTTTTTACTAGATTTATACACGTTTCTCCAAGAAATGCAAATACTGCTTAATGAAACTGGATTAATAGGTACGTCATAGATCTTTAAAGATTAGTGAGCTGCTTAACACCATCGTACATAGTCTCTGATGTGCACAAACATTACAGCAGTGCAGAATAAAACATCACACCAGTGTAAGATAAAACAATTCCCATCATGACATTTCTGTTTCCCATATTCATGACGTCCCCACAACAGCATAACTGACACCAGTTGTCGTGCATGTGCATGAAGAAACAGAAGGGGTGGAGTTAATGTAAATGCTTGTGCCAAGTCGAGCTGTTTTGGCCCACTTGCACAGCAGCTTACTATTAACCGTTTCACTAGCGATCAGCCGAAATGTGAAACATTCCTTACCTCCTTGACGGTTAGTCCATAGAATTGGAAAAGAATAAGGTCATTCAGTGCGTTTCCACAAATGAACCAATGTGCCAATTTTCCTGGAGAACTCAAAGTAATATTGAGGTAATAAAATAGTATTTGCAGATGGATTGACAAGTGAACAGATAGCCACGTAACACAGCATAAACACCCCGACATACATACCCACATGCATAAATTAAGGAAACGGGGTGGCATAGGAAGGAGCACAAATTAATGTTCCATCAACTCATTACAGACCACAATTGTTTCTCACCATTTATTATTCTCCAAAGACTCTAACAGCAAAGCTGAATCATTTCCATTTTGACTGCCGCTACTGCTGGAACTTCCCAAGAATTCATTCCCGCTTGATCCATTGCTTGTCATCTCCACATCATCATCTGGTCTCGGATCTTGATTATCATCGGAATGAAGTGGCAACTCCGCTTGCTGGCGTCTAGATTCTGAATAATTCATTTTCTGGAATGCGACCTAAGGTGGATGAAAATGAGAAAACATGTCAGAAAACGTGGTCAGAAATATTTCACGTTTCATTTGCACAAATCTTGATATCAATGCCCTCCTGGGATGCACTGCCTGAAAAAGGGTGGTGGAAGCCGATTCGATAATAACTTTTAAGAGAGTAGATAATTATTTGGGGACAAGTTTGCACGGCTATGGGGTGAGAGCCGGGGAGCGGGACTGAATTGGTTAGCTCTTTTCAAAGAGCCGGCACAGACACGATGGGCCGAATGGTCTCCTTCTGTGCTGTATAATTCTATGATTCCTGCAATATTACTGTACACAGGACTGCTTTAGTTCCAATTTTGTTACAGGGAAAGAAGGAAAAATAATTGGCTTGGGCAGCTGACACATATCAAAATTCATCACGTTGAGTAAGAGTATCCAAACTAGACAAGATTCAATGTACCTGCGGTCAGGTATGTATAAACTATACATGGAGACTTCACCCCGTGTCTGAAATGCTCACTCTCTCCTGGAAGGACACACCCGGATTAACCGAGCAGGTTGAGGGGAGACCAATACTTGTTTACCAGATCAATTGCATCTTTTGTGACGCACGATTTGCAAACATTGGAAGCTATTTGAGTAGCAAGATTCGCAAAACAGATATTGAATCCCAGTGGCTTTAGGATTTGTAACAACCCATCTGACAAATCAAAGCACTTCAGAAATCCACAGAGAGCACAATTGACGCAATTGTTTTTACGCTGTTTTACTCCCCAATGACTTTATTATTTCTCTTTCAGAAGTTTACTACAATTTCTGGAATATTCAATCCATTTCAGATTTTGGGCATTCACTGTTTATCAATACGACTACGATCACTTGAAATGGTTCCCAGAACGTTGCTGCGTCCTTCATTTCGACCCATAATGACAGAATGACAGGAAAAAAACCCAGGGCTTGATAAGCTTCAAGCAATGTATGACACAAAAGTATTCCAACGCTCACGAACAAGAGCGTCGAACCATTTTAAGATACCAAAAACCACCTTGTGAAAGAAGAAGCAAATATGTGCTACTGTACAGGTGGTGATGCAGTCTTGAGCACCTGCACCCGCAATTACTGTATGCATTGGTCGCAGCGTAAAAAACACGCGTCATATACATTTATGTAACATCACTTTTTTTAAAAAAAAGGTAAAATCTAACACCTTTGCCCGAACAGTTACTCAGACTTTGATCGACAAAAAAAGACGAGACTCTCAGGTCGCTTCTTGTTTTATCCAATGCAACAGATTTTCCCAAAGCGCAGTCATCACCGATAATCAAATGGACCATCTTCTGATGGGGTTTTTTTTTTAAAAAAAAAAGAAAATATTTTAGGAGAGAAAAACTGATCAAAACATCACCTGGTCAGGTTAGCTGCGCACTCACCTGGGGGTTGCTTTGACCAAAGAAATATTTCACTTTGCCAATAAAAAAAAATTGCAACGCACAGCTCAGGGGCAGACGAACAGGAAGACTTCAGTGAGCGATCTCAGCGCTCTGAGACGCTATCCTGCCTGAAAGGGGCACTGTCTACACATGCAAACTGCTGCTGCTGTTGTTGTTGTTGTTGTTGTCGTTGTTGTTGCAGTACAAGTAACCTTTCGCAATGACAACAACGAAACAAAAACACACGAGAGCTGTCGATGCGTCCAAGACATCAGAGTGGAACACAAAGCACTCAAACCCTGACTGCACACTCACTCACTCACACTCACTCACACTCACCCAGTCACTCACTCACTCTCACTCATAGTCACTCAACCACACTCACTCACACTCACACTCACTCATAGTCACTCAACCACTCACTCACTCACACACACTCATAGTCACTCAACCACACTCACTCACTCACACACTCACTCACACACTCACAGTCACTCACACTCACCCACAGTCACTCACTCATAGTCACTCAACCACACTCACTCACTCACACACTCACTCACACACTCATAGTCACTCAACCACACACACTCGCTCACACACACACATTCACCCACACACTCACTCACTCTCTTGCTCACACACTCACTCACCCACACACACTCACACCCATTCACACTCAGTCAGTCACTCACACACACTCACTCAGTCACTCACACACTCACTCTCACTACTCGCTTACCTTTTGCTGTTTTACTTTAGCAATCGAACCCAAACACAACGGTGTTCACTCCAACTCCTGTGTGTCTGTGTGTGGCTGCTGGAGCTGAGAGGAGATGCACTGTGCACATGCCTTACAGTGAGAGAGAGAGAGACAGAGCTATGTTGTGCCTCTCTCTGTGTTACTCACTCACTCTGCAGTGTGTCCGCGCCCCTGTGCTCAGCCCTGAGCCGCTCCACACAGCCCCACAACGTGACAGCCCCGGGGAGGCCCCGCCCACCGCCCCCCCCGATTGGCTGCCGGCCGCGGCTGGGGCCATTGTGACGCGGCCGGCGCTCACCAGGCCCCGCTGCCCATTGGCCCGCGGCCGCCGCCCGTCGCGGCGACATTGTATCCCCTCCTCACGTGGAATCGAGTGTGCGCGGCGGCCCCGCCCCCCCCCCCCCCGCGGCTCAGGGTCACGTGATGCAGCCACAGCCCCCGGACCACAGGGCTCAGGTGGCCCGCAATGTGGGCTCGGACACGTGCTCCTCTCTCCCTCTCCCTCTCTCTCTCTCTCCTCCCTCTCTCCCTCCCCCTCTCTTTGCACTGTGTGCACAAAGGGAAAGCGGCGGAAAATACCGCACCGTGTGCACAGGGACAGGGATACACTGCACTGTGCACAGGGACAGGGGGGGATATACTGTACTGTACACAGGGACAGGGATACACTGCACTGTGCACAGGGACAGGGATACACTGCACTGTACACAGGGACAGGGGGGGATATACTGCACTGTACACAGGGACAGGGGGGGATATACTGCACTGTACACAGGGACAGGGATACACTGCACTGTGCACAGGGACAGGGATACACTGCACTGTACACAGGGACAGGGGGGGATATACTGCACTGTACACAGGGACAGGGGGGGATATACTGCACTGTACACAGGGACAGGGGGGGATATACTGCACTGCACAGGGACAGGGTACACTGCACTGTACACAGGGACAGGGATATACTGCACTGTACACAGGGACAGGGATACACTGCACTGTACACAGGGACAGGGATACACTGCACTGTACACAGGGACAGGGATACACTGCACTGTACACAGGGACAGGGGGTACACTGCACTGTACACAGGGACAGGGATACACTGCACTGTACACAGGGACAGGGATATACTGCACTGTACACAGGGATACACTGCACTGTACACAGGGACAGGGATACACTGCACTGTACACAGGGACAGGGATACACTGCACTGTACACAGGGACAGGGATACACTGCACTGTACACAGGGACAGGGGGGGATATACTGCACTGTGCACAGGGCAGGGGGGGGTACACTGCACTGTACACGGGGATACACTGCACTGTACACAGGGACAGGGGGGGATATACTGCACTGTACACAGGGACAGGGGGGGGTATACTGCACTACACAGGGACAGGGGGGGATATACTGTACTGTACACAGGGACAGGGGGGATATACTGCACTGTACACAGGGACAGGGGGGGGGTATACTGCACTGTACACAGGGACATACTGCACTGTACACAGGGACAGGGATATACTGCACTGTGCACAGGGACAGGGATATACTGCACTGTACACAGGGACAGGGGGGATATACTGTACTGTGCACAAGGAAAGGGGGATATACTGTACACAGGGAAAAGGGGATATACTGTACTGTGCGCACAGGGAAAGGGGGATATAGTGTACTGTACACAGGGAAAGGGGAGGTGGGGGAATACTGCATCGTGTACACACGTTGAGAGGGGCGGGTGGGGTGGGGGGAACACTGCCTTGTGTATATACGAGGGCTGGGGGGTGGGGGGGAGACTGCATTGTGTACACAGTCAGGAGGGGTGGGGGGGGGGGGGGGTTGGCGGGGGAGACAGACTCACCAGTAAGTTTTAAATCCTGATGGAGATGATCCTTTTGCTTTCGTTTGAAAGCGACACTCTCAAAGAAAGGGAATGTACTTGAACCCGTTTTTTTTTGACCCACGTTAACTCTTCCACTTGGGTTTTTTAATTTTTTTAAAATAAAAATAATGCATTCGAGAAAGCGATCTTTTAACCCCCCCCCCCGACAAAATCCCCCAACCCCCCCCCCCCCCCCTCCACCCACACCTCCCCTTGAGGAGATTTGACATTGGAGATTGGATGTAAGAAGAGCTCAGAACACTGAGGTTTCACCAACCGATGTCGCTTTCATGAAAGTGGAACCATGTTTTTATTGAAATGCGGGCAGTGATTTCTCTCCCCCCCCTTTAAATCGCGAGGATCGCATCGCCTGGCTTCGGTCAAACACACACGTTTATTCGCTCTTCGGGAGACTTCAGTAACATGATCAAGGCTTACAGAGCCTTTAGATGAAATACAAGCAGTATTAAGAGGCTGCTTTGGAGAAAGAAAATGCAACACCCATATTGCACTGGACAAGTTGCTGATCCTGGCGCCTTGTCTTTACCAAATAGGAGGAAGGATTAGGTTGTCTCCTTTTTTTTACAACACCCCCTGGGAGCTGTGCGCAGCTCCATCAGTGCCAGGAACAATTTTTCCTCTTCTCAATAAATAAACTCAGACAGGGAGTGACTGTAGAACTGCTCGACTGCGCAAAGCATCTCCCTGTCTCCATCAATCTCTTCAAACATGCCTATGGCCATCCGTACCTCACCCTTCCTCTATCTCTCCCTGGTTTACTGATCCCAGTATTTCATTTTTGCACATTAGTATAATGCACAAATTAATGTGGTGAATATTGTTTGTGACCGCTAAAGAAAAAACTATTTAAAAGGACTCACGAGACATTAACTTAATCTTACCTTTGTTTAGTATGGCAATTCCAAGTGTCGTGTTTAGCATTTTGTTCAATTAAAGGTAATTAAAGTTCAACGTCCGGAATAATCAAACATAGACTTTAAAACCAAACTTCAATTTGTGCGAAGTTTATTATTATTAACATTGGATATCTGCTATTATTGCTAAGGTATAAGCATGAGTCATTGGCTTGTGTACTCATGAAAAGCAGTGCTTAAAAATAACAATTCCAGTATGCGCCAGTATCTGGGATGCTAACCTTCGTCAGGGCCCCTCTATAAATGCAAGTTGTTGTTGACTCTCTACTGAACTACACATGCTGAGTCACCGCACTGGCCTTTGCCACGTTATATGATGTGAATAACAAGATTACATTTGCTGCATTTCGCCCCGTAGAGAGCGCGAACAAAACAAATGATGACATTTAGTTAAAGAAAAATTTCAAGACTGTAGAATCCCCTTTCTTACTTCTTCAATTCCAGTCATTTAAGATCGTTTATTTACACTGATCTTTACACAATGCCTGTGTTGGGGATCTTTCTATTTTGCAAGCAAGTATACACATCAGTACTCTCAAGCAAGATCCAGCATCAGTTAATGCAGAGCTTTAATAATATACCTTTTCTGCACTGCACTGATGCACACTAGAAGTCTGAACTGACACATTAGAACCAAATTCTACGAAATACCACGTTGTACCCATCAGCAGCTTCGTTGAAACTAAACACATTACTTTGAATACTTGAAAGCAGCAGATAGGAGACATTTATTCCTTAGGTCTGGTTCTAAGTTCAACATGAATAATGTACGAAAAAGCCCATTGATCAATCGAATAAATGTGAAATCAAACCTGCGTTCAACAACCACTCAGGGGACTAGAACAAAGTGACCTTTGTATAAGGTTAGCCTCTGAGTGAGGGTTCTTTGATGTGCAAATCAGGCTGTCTCTGCTATTCTAGGGTGGTTGCTGAATGGAGGTGGTCGCTTGAACAGATTTAACAGTATTATGTATTGGTTAAAACAAGCATTTCATTTTCCCCGAGGCAAGGGTTTATTCCCCTTCAGTTCTTCATTCCCCACATGTCATTCACCATTCCCTGATCAGCTAAAGAGAATGTTGTCACTGGCAAATACAATTACAGAATCTAACTGTTTTATTGAATTATTCCATATTGGATATCTCAGGGAGCATATCATTTGTTTTCTGAGTGAGAGCTCTTGCCTTATGAAATCACAAATATTAAATGTCTTGACAAATGCAAAAAACTGCAAATGCATATTTCACGTCTTGATCATTGAGTATTCTCATTGCATTAAATATTAAGAAACATTAATCTTCACAGAAATTAAGAAAGAAGGGAACATAACTTATTGTGAAATTAATTTAGCTTCTTGGCAGGTGAATATTACAAGAGATAAAGATAGTTACATAGCATTAAAATGACAGGAAGTCTTATTTAAAAAAATTAGGCCTCAATATGCATTTTTATTAAAGGTACAATGCTAAGGAGAGGTGGTTAAAATGGAGGGAGGTGTGATGTACGAGTAGAGGTAAAGTCAGGTGAATTAGAATAGAGAAGGCTCAAGTTACTTTAGTAATCAGGATCTACATAACCGAAAGATGAAGCAGGTTGATATGTCCTCTATATTCAGTCTCACTGATGGACTATAGTGGCTGTAAAAGGTAAATCTTAGATAAAATCCTGTTGAAAGTTTAGGATTAAACTGCTAATTACGCAACATTTGGGTCATCTATAGTTTCTATCTAGTTGACTTTTCAGTTATACCACTAAACTTTAGACAGGCACAGTGACCTGAAAGCAGAAATAACATAAGCCCATTCTGTGTTAGGTACAGTGTCTGGAGTAGCGATAAAAATAGTCTCATTTTGTCTACCTTTTTATTGTATAGATTTCTTTCTAAATGTATTTTGAAAAGATTAGTCCTGTAATAGAGAAAGGAACAGACTGTGACTGTATTATTCCGGGAACTGTGAGATTCAGGACTAAAATAGCAATGGCTACAGATCAGGGTTTTACCCAGCTGCATTGTAAAACAGCCTTCAGAGAGACAAGGTTTCCTGAAGGCACAAGAATAAATTCACATTTTGATTTTTTTCATGCAATTCTTTATCACATAGATCACATAGATCACGCAGAACAACACCAATTCTCTGACAACAAAGGCGTGGAAACAAATAACATTCGTAAAGCGCCTTTCACGTCATAAGGATGTTCCATGGCGCTATGGTAATAATGGCGCCATGGAATAATTTTAAAGCAAAAGAATGAATAGGGACTAAAATGNTTTTTTAACAAAACTTTATTTGCCAAGACACTTACATCACTGTTGTTGTTGCACATATACAACATGGAAACTGTATTCACCAATTTATATATGAACCACACACACAGAAGGATATAAACATCCAATCAGTATATAGCTAATACAACATTTCTATGCAATTCCCAGAGAGTTTGGTTTTGGGGAGGTGGGCAAGTGTAGTGGTAGATCCACAATGATCTCCGGGTTAAGTAACTTGGAACATAAAAAGAAACTTATGCAAAAAATATTAGGAATTACAATGGACTGTCTTTCAAGAGCAGAATGACTAACAAAAACTGCTCTAAACTGCTGCATTACACGAATATTTCAGGAACGTTGTCAATTTCAAAACAATTAAAATTGGAGTTCTGCCTGGCTGCTTATCTTCAGTTGTAAAGAATCTACCTCTAATGTTCCTTCCTCCATCTCCCTCTTGAAGGCACTGATTCATGCAAGTGTGGTCTGCTGTGATACTGACCCATTTCCAGCAACCCATCCAAGTACTTAGTGAGTGTTGGCTGAAAGAAAGTAACCCAGTTAAACCTAACCTGACCCTATCTTAATGTTTCAGCAGAGATCTCTTGATAGTATCCTGGCTCTCCTTCCTAACCCAGGAATGCTGTCATCAAATCACCACTCCTTATTACTTCTCCTTACTAGTTACTAATGGTTAAGATCAGCTAATTTGGCGCAGAGAGTCAGTTTCACTTCAGGAAGTGGATTTACCTGTTTGAGGACATTTTTTTCTTTAAAAGTTTCTGCTCTTTTCACTTTATTAAGAAAACTCATATGCTAATGAAAACACACGTGGGATTCATGTTCACCTGGAATACCTTTCAGTGTTGCTTATCCTGCAGTTATTTACAATTAAGCAACAAAAAGAGACACACAAACCATCAATAGTTATACTCAGTAACCAGGAGTAAGAATAGTCCTGGTTCCAAGTAGGACAAATGCAACAATTTATTCTTTGTGGACTGAAATTTATTTGAATATTTTCAATCCTATAATATGTAGAACATGTGCAAAATTAAACAAAAAAGTATAAATGAAGCAAATGTAAACCAACACCATCTTGAGGCATTTGATTTTGAAATGACACTATAATCCTTTTAAGATGACTTTCACTTTAGAAGGCATTGCAGGCTGCTGCTGAATGCAGTTTATTATTAAGGTAACCACAGCAATCTGCACCCCTGTTGAAAGTTGTAAGGCTTGGCGGCAGATTAGCTGAGGACATTGGCCTCTACAACCAAGAAATCTTTTTCAGCTGCTAGTCTTGAGGCCTTGGGAAGTAGCTAATCCATGTGTACCAATGCACTGGATCAGAGAGAGTAGACAGTGTGTTCACACCAACAATTTGTCACCCAATGACATGCCAGTCTTGAGTGTGTTGTTGGTTGGAGAAGAGATGTAAGGAAAGGAGACAAGTTACTGCTACGGCACTGGACAGAGGATATTGGAAGTAGTGACTCCCTGGTCTGCTCTCCTGAGGCTCACAGTGACTGTTTATTGAGTACCATCAGCAGAAGCTCAGGAACAGGTGACTCACTCAAAGAGGCAAAGTGGCATTTTGGGGGAAACTAAAATAGAAACAAGAAAAACATGGTAGAAAAGAAATAAAACTGCATCGTAAGGCTGTAGTATCTGTATACTTCTGGGAAATTGCAACTGTAACAAGTGTAGCTTTCTTCCAGTGTCTGTATAACCAAAGCTACTTTACAGTACACTTAGCAAATAGGGGTGCATGAATTCTCCAATTACAGTTTCAGAAAATTGCACATCACAGGTTGCTTAGGTCAAGATCTGGCAAGATTACACCATATGTACAATCACGAGGAGGGAAAATCAAGGAAGTAAACAATGGTCCAACAGTTTAAAAAATACAATATTCAATCAATAATGATTGTAGCAAAGATTATATCAATAGGGCATCTAGTGTAGGGCCTCTTAATATGAACACATCCTTGATAAATGACCTACAGCCCATGTAATGCAAGTGGATTGCGAAAATAAGGATACTGGTGCTAATCGCTGTGAAAGTATTCTTAAGCTGTGGCCTTCTAAACACGAACAAGATACAACAATCAAAGGGCACTGCAAACTGTTCAGAATTAGATCCCAGAATTTGAGTTGGATATTTATTTGTATAAGCGCTCTGAGACGCTATCCGGCGTGGAGGGTGCTATATAAATCCAAGTTGTTGTTGTTGCATTCCATTTATATTCCTCTTGGGCTCCGAACGAGCCATCACAAAGCAGCACATTTTATTTTTTAAAGAAAATTCATTATTTTTATTGACAGGACCAAAGCAAGCTGTTGCCTGGTTTCATGTTAGCCCTCTTCCTCTTCTCTCAAGTGTGTCACATTGGGCAGATGCTACCCAATGAGACTTGGGCTACTTCTGGAGTATAAATAGAGGAAGTACAACATTTCAAAGACAGTCTACAAGTCACCCACTCAGGGTGTGTAACACAGAAATCTTCGGTTTTCTGTTTATTAATAAGATATTTTAATTTATAACTTTGCTTTTGAATGTCCGAAATTTCATTTAACCACAAAGCAGAATGATGGCGACAGAGAGGTACACTTGTAAAACATTATTCTGGAGTCTCCACAACAATCAATCTGCAGTTATGGTATCCTGTGGTCCATGATCACTATAAACAGTATCTAAGTCGACACTGGACTGAAGATAGATCTGTATTGATCATGTATTACAGTGAGTTAATTGATTGGTCCATCTCTCTCGCTCTGGTCTACCCCATTGTGTAGCCAATTTTTACTACACTGGCAGAATTAAAGTGTTTTTGTGTTTACGTTTCAAATAGTTCCTCTGACTCCATCTCAATACCATTCTCCATCTCCATTCTCCCTCCGTCACCTTGCTCAAGGTTCATCTCAAGACCAACCTCTTTGACTGCACCTTCGGCCATCTTCACCCTCCCACCCTCCTCGGCTCCCACCCTCAGCTGGGGTGCCCAGCCAGCACTGTTACATGCTTCAGGATGTCCTTCCAATGTGAAAGGCACTATATAAATGTATATATGTATTGTAGTTCGTGTTGTATTGTAAGTATTCTATCAAATAAATCTGATGTGTGCTTTGTTTGTTGGGAATTCAAAGTGAGAGCAGATTTTTGATGATGTGAATTCCGACTGGTACACCAGCTGCTGCCCAATACTATCACCCACCTTCCAGCAGTCACCGCCCTGAAATATAATGTTAAGGTCTATTGTGGAGGCTGACGGATATTGTAACACAAGTAAGGTCACTGGGCTCAAAACTGACTCGCTAAACTGCTCCTTATTATTTTCAAATCAATGAAACCTTCAGTCATTTACGTTTATACTTTGTGCTGCAAGAAAGCTCTGAATACTGAATAGAACACTGCGTTCTTTTGAAACTTCATTCATATGACTTGGTCTAAACCTCCGAGCAATGGAGGCAATGGATGCTGGGTTTTGTTAATGTGTGAAAATTCTTTATTCAGATCTGTAATTTGAGAAATGTAATTTTACATTATACGACTCAAATCAGCGGTTTTGATTTGATGGTTGTTAAGGCTTTGGGCATTCATGTTGTTACAGCCTATCGGTAGACTACTTGGCAACTTAGAAAAAAAAGTCACTTGGAGTTATATTTAGAAACATGGTCCAACTATTTGAAGGTCAGTGTACATACATTGTGCTAGTTTTACCTCGGAACGTGTAAGACATTAACCTACCTATCTATTTGGCAGTAATTAGCTGGTTAATCGTTATTACAATTTAGTTAACAGCACTCAATGCACCCAGTTGAATACTAAAGATAACTTACAGGCAAAATAAAAACAACTATGGGCATAAGCAGAGGTTAACAAATAATATCTGACACTGGAGAAGGTGTGGCTGACGAGGACAAAGCTAGGCTGTATTTTTGGACGGACTTCGGCTCTTCAGGTGCAGAAATAAACTGTAAGAGAATTGGAAATAAGAGTTCAAAATCACAGCAAACAACACAGCTGGAAAGAAATAGGACTTAACATTTACTTATAGATGCACAGCTATAAATTCCAACACACTGGGACTCTACCCTGCGTGAGAGGCGCTATATAAATGCATGTTGTGGTGAACCAGTATAATTTGAATGATATGTATTTCACCTTTTTAAGAATTCTGCAAATAAAATATGCCTGAAATTCCACAAAATATCACAGAGCAGCACTTCAAAGCAACCAGCTAAATCCATGGGATGTCAGGCTTGTGGGGGAAAAAAAACCTTTCATCGTTTAGAGGTACTGTTATATATAAAACATTCAAACACATTGAAATCAATGTTAAATCACTTTGTTGTTTCTCTCATATTAGATTTTTTATACACTAAAACAGTAGTTAATTCTTTTGGGAGGCCTCTACAGTGTCAGGGGAGAAAAGCTATTTTGATGGAAGTATAGCAGAAGACTCGAAGGAGAAATAATCCTGTACCACAATGATTTAGTACATATTGGAGTCCTGTAGTTCAGTGGTTAGAGCACTCGCCTAGCAAGCAAGAGACCTGGGTTTGATTCCCGGCAAGACGAAACCTTGGGCAAGTTTCCTTACTCCACGCGCCTGATAATTATCCCTCAAGAAAAAAATAATAAAATAATAATCTGGTCACTCAATCCACGACTGTTTGTGGGACACTGCTGTGCGCAATTGGCTGCTGTGTTTCGCCCAAAAATATACAATCAATTCACTTTACAGTATATTCTGTGAAGCTCTTTGAAGTCTAGAAGACGTGAACAGCGTTATATCAAATACAAGAATTATTATTATTATTATTTTTATATTAGTTGATGAATAATCCCCAGCACTTTTATACTAAAATAGAACTGTTAAACCTGCTCCTCCACTCATTTTATTGTCCATTTTTAATGCTACCTTCTTCATCAGTAACCAGTTACAGTGGAACACTAAACCCCTACCATTAATAACCTTTTATTAACAGTGTGCTTTTGTGTATTTTTGCACTTCTCGGTTTTCTTAATGGCATGCTTTCTATTTGCGCAGGATCCAGAAGCACACTCACCGCACTGCTGGATGATACTTTACTGCTAATTAAACTAACTATTTTATGACTATCCAGATCCATTTTTTTCCACACAATGTACTCAAGATGCCATAGAAATGCAGGCACCATTTTCGGCTCATTCAGTTTCCCACTCAGTTTAATAATAGCTCCAGTACTTGCCGTCCCTATTACACTGGGCAGCTGACTGCACCTGGTACCCGACACCAACACTTTGATTTCTCCATTCGATGTGTCATGTTCTACAAGATTTATGTAGTATTGCTAGTTTTGTTAGTTTTAAGTGTCCTTTGATATCAGTGAATGTGATGAATTTATCTCTATATCCTGCCCTACTCTTTTGCCAGTTTAATCCTACCCAATCCTTCATTCCATGCTCTCTAGATGGTCCATGTTAAATATTAGTTGCTAATTCCCATGTTCACGATTGATACCTATCCTTTTCCCTACTCCCTATAGCTTGTCAAATTTATATCCCACTAAACAGTTCCCCGATAAGTAGGTTTCATATCGCATTTAATCAATGCTTTAATTTAATATTCTTCATCGTACGTGTTTGATTCACAACCTCTTTGCCCACTTAAAGATCATCGACAATGGGGCCTAAATTGAGCACTGGAACATTCAAAATATTTGTTTACACCCCTGGTGCATAGACTACCAACATGGGGCTGAATGTGCAACGTGAAGCACATGGTGGAATATGCGAATGCTTGGAGACAAAGGGACAATTGTACAAATGGGCAAAATTGCAGCTCAAGCCATTCTGTTTTTAGCAAAATTAAATCCACAAACTAAAGCAGCCGGTTTGAGCAGTCGCAGTGCAGAATTCATAAGCTTTGTAAAAATACTTACTAATGATAATGATGATAATGATTGCACATATTGCTCCGAGTATAATCATCATCTGTAAATATGATGAGAGAAATTAGAGTAGGGAAAAAAAATCACATCATCTCACATCAACAGAACGATTACCGAATGTGCCTTTCTTGCATACATTTGTATTCTTTTTCCAGCACTTTGGGCCGTCCTCCCGACCTGAAAGGCGCTACACAAATGTAATTTGTTGCTGTTCTTTTCCTTGTTGATCCCATCAAAAGCTCAAGCATTCTACTTGTTGCGTTCCTTTGTTGGAGCTCACAACATCCAAGCGGCGTAAACTGAGGGTTTAGATGATGTTCCGATTGTCTGTTTAGTTTACAGATCTGCTTTGGTGAGAAGTGGTTGTGATACAAAAGTCTCCAGTGCTGTAGAGCAGATTCCACAGTCTCATTGACAACAATCAAACAGCTGCTTAGACACTGTCAACAATAATGTGTTTGTTTTCTGGCAGTGGATCTTTGCTACCATCTGGGGAAGGTCTGTACCAGCCAGCAATGCGAAAACTGCTCTTAAAAACATCACAATCCCACTATTTGTATCATAACCACTGTCGCAATTATTTAATACATTCTTTAATTATGTTATTTGCAACACACACTTCCGTAGGCCGATTCTCTGGTTGTTGTTGAAGGTATGAATCTTACATTGCGAGGATACATCAGGGATTTTCCTTTATAAAATGCCAAATGAAGAATCACTCTTGAGATTTGATTTGCAGGTGATGTTCTGCATAGATTGGGATATATCCAACAATTTATCTATGGAATTTCCATGTGTAGGGGGGATGCATGGAATTCTCAGTTGGGTTTGAATACTCTTAAGCACGGCTGATATTAAAATTAAAAAAAATTAGGATCTAATTTGTGGTATTTCTTAGTGGAATTCCTTCTTCCTTCCTTCCAGTATGGAAGTATGCCAAGCCAACTCATGGACACTCCACTCTGATGCTACCTAGGTCTGAAGCAAACTTCCTTCGGGTTGACAGTGCAATCTCCGTCTGCATTTAAAGCAACTTATTTTTTTATTTTTGCTTCAGGCTGGAAGCCACATTCCTAACCTCAAATAAATACATAAACACACACACACACACACACACACAGGTGCCAAATCCCTTTGGATTTGACCTTCGTTCTCAGATTTCCACCAGAAGTGGTTGCACATAGCTTCACCTTGCAGTTTTTCCACCAGTACTTCCTCTTCAGCTTGGCAGCGCTGGTTTCAAACTGTGACGCTCCAGCTTGAAGGGCATCTGCACGATCATCGAGCTCAGACAGCTTCTGATCTCTTTCCAGGACTTTGTCCACATTCACCCGCATGATGTCAACCACCTGAGACCAACAGGCACAGATAACACTTATTCCTCAGGAGATTTACATACATCGATCCTCACACAGGGTAGCGTCTTGGAGCGCTTGACAGTGGCAGATCACGACACCGAGCCGGGGGGAAGGGTCAAAGCACAGTCAAAGAGGAAGGTCTTCAGGCGCGACCTGAAGATGGGAAGGTAGGTGGGCAAAGCGGGAGGCGGGACACATTCCATATATGTTTAGCTTCCCAATTATCCTCACTGGGAGCATTTCACAGTGTATCTTGTGACATTTTCCCAACATGAAATGGGCTTTATCATATGTAAAGATTTTGTGAGCAGGCTATTATCAGAAGGGTCACACAAGCCACACACAAAAGCCCGCCGTTCTCTCTCAATCTGCCGTGCAGGTTATCTTTCCGTTGCACTTTTTCAAGTGCTCTTTCATTGCAAGCGTTACGCAAATCTAATCGGAAGCGACTACTTTAAAATACAGCGGAAACATCCTGTTTCCAAAGATGATTGAAAAAAAAACGGTTTTCAGATTAATTCTGAAACTTAAAGATGTAGACAGATTCTGCAGTTATATCCCAGTGATTTTAAACTGTGTAACCAGACTTCTTGTCAGTAAACATTTCTCAAATAATATCAGATTCATACGACCTGCTCATGGAAACGTAGTGCCATCCAGTGGACATCTCAATAATAGCAAATCATACTGTCCTCGTACATTGGATCCTGGTCTATTATTTTCTACAGTGCATTTGTAACTCTGAAACTGTCATAGAAAATTGTACGAGGTTTCTTTTTCTGCCTCAAAACTTTTGTTGGTTTAACAGTCGATAAAGCACTCTGAATGGAAATCGGCATTTAATCAATGGCGATCCAAATTTTTTGTTAGTCAGCTATTTTTCATTATATTTTCCAATCTTGGATTAATATTAATATTATTATTAATCCAATCCAAAACACAATTTTCTTGGTAGTGGGGGACTAGGAACAGGAGAGATATTGCATATTTATTAGTGCTCCAACACTATTATAACATATAACTTATAACTGGGAACTAATTGTTATAATCACAGACCTAAACTTAAGACTGTAGTTTTCATTGCCTGAATCAACTCTTGGAAACATGAACTTCATTTTCATTGTAAAAATATTCTGAGAAGAAAAACAACCACTATGATTTTTAAACGACTGTATTTTTGTTGCATGTTTAACAGCCTTCAAATAAATATCTGGAAATAGATGTCACATTTTGCACTTTAGACAAACAAGTAATGTTCACCACTCTTAAACTTCAAATAAATCAGTGCAGAGTGCTTTTCTGGGGATAATAATAATAATCCCTTAAAAAATATATTTGGTAACTCAATCCATGACTGTTTTTGGAACACTGCTGTGCGTAATTGGCTACCGTGTTTCGCCCACAAAATATAGTCAATTCACTTTACAGTATATTCTGTGAAGCGCTTTGAGACGTCTCGAAGACGTGATAAGGCGCTGTATCAAATACAAGGATTATTGTTATTATTATTATTATTATTATTAGAGTGTGACCTACCTCATCAACCTGAGCCTGTGTTTGCTGCAGCCTCCTGTTGCTGCTTGTGTTGGGTGGTTGTGTGGGGCCTCCAGGCCCAAAATTAGCATCTCCTGCTCCCGGACCTGTAGCACTTTGGGCTGGGACTGACCTGCAAACAAATACGATGTTAAGGATGTTTGAGCTGCAGTAGCAAACACACCACTGTGCAATACACACAGCGAAACTACAAGACAGAATAATAGGAGCTGTATTTAAAGACACTGGAAGGCTTTATTTCTGAGTATCATTGAGTCTAATTTTGCTATGGTTATATCTGAAGCCTTTTGCTGATATCTCCTCCAATTTTCATTGACAGAAAAGCACATCTTCTTTGTGCAAATGTAACAACAAACAGCAACGATTGATTTTTGAATGAAAATAATGATCATACAAATCTTAAAAAAAGGGGAGTCCAAAGGGTCCTTTTGAAACAAAAACAATCAGTGAGTGTTCTGTTGTTTGAGAAGGGAGAAGAGATGAGATGTAGTTATTTTCAGAAGTGATGGGAAGGGAAGAGAACCAAAACATGTACCAATCACAAGTAAACTGGTGGATACTGTATCTGTGTACAAGCACACGGAAGAGGGAACATTTGTGACCTACAAGAAAAGGTACAGTCTGGTACAAACATGTCAGTTTTTACATCTGTTCCAGCATCCTCAAGTACAAGAGTCAGAAAACTTTCATGAGATTGCACTAGACTTCACAGTAAATGTTCAGAAGAAATGATCTGTACGAAAGCAGATTCTGCACAGCGAGAATGGCATTCTGTACAGTGATGCTTTTTATCTCAAATATTATTAAATTATTAAATATTATACTGTTATTAAATATCAGTCAGTTTACTCCCACGGACCATGTTTTACAATACAGAAAACTTGCACCATTCAATGAGTTGGAATGGATTCTGTAATTGGGACCTGTACATACATATGATTCCATACACATAGTGTAGTCGGTGAAGACAGTATTGGCAATTGAATCCTCTCCTCACCTGAAAATACCTAATTCAGAACAATGGAGACATTTTGCATAATTTGCCATTTTTTGTTCCTCTCTTTCACCCAAACACGAGAGAGGGCAGGCGAGCAATCGTCTTTTGGGTAGCAATGTTCCAGCCACAAGGTGGTGCCTCAGAGCAGCCCAGAGAAGCCATCTCTGCCATCATAATCCGCATGAAAATGACATTCATGCACTTCTGGGTGAATTGAACAATATTATGGCTGATTCACTGATACCGAGAAATATGGCTGATTCACTGACAGAAGCATTATCAGTCACACAATGTTCATACGCAAAGCTCTCGTTATAATATGATTCATCAAGTTGTTTATTTGCACGATCCTGTAGAATAAAAACAGACTGCTACTGTAGGAGCATAAATATCTGGAATGTAAAGTAAATTCAATGAATACAAATTTGGATTCCTGTTTCTGCTTTACATTTAATATTCCAGCAGACGTCAGATTAGCCCTAAAAGTTAAAAGCAGCAACCAACTGGGGTCCTGTTCTGATCATTCATTTTCCAAATGATCTTTCTAAGGTAGATTCCATCTGGAGATTAGAAAACTTATTCAATCATAAAACAGTCGTGCCTTTGGTCCCATGCAACTTTTCTGGAAAAAAAATCACATTTTATCACAAAATGGGCTATAATTCATCACAAAACAAAGAACAGCCCTCAATTAATTGGCCCACCTGCTGCTCTTTGCACTCACACCCACTCACAGACAACTTTTAATCACAGCAACACAAACGCCAGCAGACAGAGCCCGATAGAAATAAAATTCCTTGATCATATATTAATTGGCATCCTTTGCAATTCTCCCACTAAATGTTGTTTACAGCTATGAATAGCACAAGGGGAAATTCAGCCTCACAAGTCAGATCCACATGAACCACCTACATGCTGCATCTTAAAAAAAATCTGTCACTGCTGATTGCTGCTCAGGTTGTTCAAAAGAGGCAGCGTAGGTGAAGCAAGGCAAACCATGGCGACATCTTTTCTGTTCATTAACTAATTTATGCTAAAGCTCAGTTTGACACGCAGACAACTGAGTTGATGAGACACTCTACACCCACACACAACATACTTCCCAGAATCTGCCAATACTCCGAAATTAACATCTCAAACAAATTGCAGGCAACAAATTGTGTCAGGGTGCACTTATGTGCAAAATATTCAAGATTTATAGTATTTCTGTAAACATATAGCATTCAATAAGGTTACAGTGAAATTAGTTTAATACATACCTAATATATAGAAACTAAAGATATATTTTTAACCCATTTATCATTGACTTTGAGCCTTATTCTGTGTTAGTTTTGAATATCCATAACTACTATTCACAAATCCTCTATTGAAAAGTTTATTAATTAATGGTAATTATGCTGAAAATACTGTCATTTGAATTACATATAATTACTATTCTCTGGGAATTAAAGGGAACGTGTGCATTCTTTATTTTTGCAGATTACAGAAAAATACAGAAAAGGAGCTACCACAGAAGAGAAAGGTAGTTTATTATCCCCGCTATTGTGCTGAGTATGTTCTTTCCAGAAATAATTAGACACTGACAATAACATGTTGCCAAGGCAAAACAGAGCAGAAAATGTCTCAATTGTCACAAGATTGGTGTGAATGATAAAGGTCCTTCAGCCCCTCTGATTTCATCCCTCCCGAATATCCACCCAATCGTATTCCCATCACAATATCCAGCTTCTTTTTAACAGGCATCACTTCCAAAGAGAATTGTACACATATGTGAAAAGGGAATGGAGGGATATGGGGGAGGCTGGTTACTGAAAATATTACAGAAAAAGATGTCTTGCAGAGTACTATTGGCAACACCAACAAAACCCTTCCAGTTAAATGCTAATAGACTCACAGAAAGAGTACAATGACAGATGGCTAAGACAGGTAAGACATGACAAAGCAGACTGGAAATCTAAATGGAAATGTGCTAAATCTCAGCCATGAAGGCTATTACGCTCATAAACAACTTTTATCTAAAATCAAGGGAGTTGCCACAATGAGTAATCCAACACATTGCTTTTATTGGAAATAAGAATTGTTGTTTCTTTAACTTCAAGTCTCCAATGCAACTTGGGAAAGCATCTTTGCTTTCTTATTTTAGACAATCATTTGTTGAGATATAAGTATTCAAGGTATTTATTACTTTACTATCACTATATTTAAACTATGTCACTATTTTACTTTAGCTACCATTTTGAATGATACAGTGGGTATTTCACCCACAAAATATACAGTCAATTCACTTTACAGTTTATTCTGTGAAGTTCTTTGAGACTTCTCGAAGACGTGATAAGGCACTATATCAAACACAAGGATTATTATTAATATTATTACAGCATAAACACTTCAGTTTGTGTTTATGGCATGTACAATACCACTTTGATCCTACCAGTGTTGTGGATTCCAAACATTTTATACTCAAGGACAGATTCCAGCAAACAAACTGAAACAAACATATATTGGACATCAGTAGTGGTTGGTAAGTCATAATTTCCAATTTTATTTTCTTGCATTTGTTTGTTCCAGTTACACTTTTTAAACAGGTTTTTAAACAGGGTCTTTAGAATATCATTTTACAGGAACATGCTAACATAACAACAATACTTAGCATATTTGTGGAGTACTAACATAAAGGCCAGGCTTCAAAACAATCCATGTTTTCAATTTCCAGATCAAGTTTAGTCATGCCTTTTCAAACATGCTTTTTAATACAAATATTGTTAAAGTTTAACCTCAGAAATAACATGCACGTCCTTGACGACTTTCTTCTGGGACTTTTTTGACACCTTTATAAGCCTTATACTAACATGATAGCAAGGCTTAAAATCCCTTAGCAGCAACCTAGCAACTAACAGTCTGCAGTCTATGACTCACCATCATCTGAGTTGAACTGATAAAGTCAGGTGCAATTCCTGCCTGAAAAACAGGAATCATTTATAAAAATTAAAAGGAAAAAAAGGTCGTGGCCTCAGCACTGGTGTGTGACTCCTGACGTGTTCCAAGTGCTGGATGCTGTATTGACCATTCACTGGAGCAAACCAATGAGCAACATCCGTCATCGATGGCAGAGTCAAAATTTTGATTTGAACAGAGTTCATCTTTGCACCAGTAACGGCAGCTGGCAGAAATAATGAATCAGCAAGCAAACAAGTCAAATTAACCTGTTAGACACTCACATTGACTTTGCAGACAGAACTGGTACTAAGCAAAGCACCAGGTCTCACTCCTATGCAGAACGAGTTTAAGTCTTTCTCCTTCTAACCACTTGTTGATGACCAAACCATCTCCTACTCTAAATCCTTTTTTTCTTAGGGCTGTACGATTATGGAATTCCTTATTCTTTACCTCGTCTTTCATTCTTCCTTTAAAACACAAGCTTGGAGTCAGATAACAGGGCCAGGTTTCCTTGACAGCCTATTTATCTGAGATAGTATGCACCTTGCAAGAAATTTTAGTCATTGGTACTTTGAACAACAGAGCAGTGGCAGTAATATGCATTTGTGAAGATATTTGATTCAGGAATTATTCACTGAATCCAAACCCCACAGGGATTTTCTGGTGATTATAGCTAAACAAATATTTGGGTTGATGAAAATGAACTGTTACTCTTTTGTGCAACTTCAACTGCATCTCTGAATTCAGTGTGAACTTCTGTGAATATATAAACAACATGTTGGTGGTATTAAGGTCAAGGTCAAGGTATCAATATTGATATAACCGGACGTGCCATAAAATCCATCATTCAGCCCATAATGTCCACTGAACATTGAATGTTATTGACTTCACTGCATCCACTATCTCCTAAATATTCCTTGACCCCTTCAAGTAAAACCTCCAATTCATCCATCCTCACATTTCATTCAATTCTGATTACTTTTCTTCCACAGTTAATGTTCATTCCTTCTCTCCTTCCACTCAGAAGCCCAGAAATCATTGTCTCGTGTAGAATATTTGTTCTTCTCAGTCTGCACCAATCCATTCATCCTTCAATACTGTTTTCAGGGGCAGTTGCCTCACCTTTAAAGAGAGATAATTGACACAGCACCAACTGCCTTCTTAGTTAATACTAAAAC